CCTGCCACAACGCCTGGCTATTTTTTGGTTGCAGTCATCATTGCTGTTTGGCGGGCCTGGGCTGGATTCGAACCCACCACTTTGGGTATATGTGGCTGGCGCCTTAGCCACTTGAGCCACAGGTGCTGAGCCCAAAATCTTTACCAAATGAATTCTTCTTTCAATTTTCCTTATATCCTCAGAGTACCCAATATTCAATAAATTTTAAACTGAAAATTACCCTTACCTATGTAACCATAACATCATTTCATTTACTATTCATTTTAAATCAGCAAACAGAAGCATTCTACATAGTCTAGGAAGAAAAATTAATGCAAAACCTTACTTCTCCTCTCCTGTCAGCACCTTTTCCAGGTCTCTTCGGGGTGTCTGACCACCAGTGCTGGGGGAAAAGTAAACAAGGAGACACTAGGAATGTTAGAACCTTATAACTAAGAAACAGAGCAAACTAATACTAAACTTAGACCCTACTTAGCTCTTATAAATGGGAACAGGAAAAATATCTCTAATAATCTTTAAAAAGTACTACTCATTTTAGTATTCACTGGCATATAACAGAATTCACTAGGGGTGAGCCATAACTGCCATATACTGGTAACTAGTAACTCTGCCCTCCAGGGTGCAACTATATCCAGCATATTGGTACAAAGTGAACCCAATTTTTTTTAATCCAGGAATTTGGAAATGGGAGGGAGAAAGTTGTTTTCTGCAAGTGGCTGGGGCAAACCAAGCAAAATCAGAACTGGGAGAAGGGTCATATTCCACCAAACTGACCCTGGAAGGTCATGGCAGATGGAGAGGAGCTCCATCACACACGACCACATTTAAATTAAAAGAGTATTATGAACCACACAGATAATATCAAGTGAAAGGAAAGAAATCCTCATCATCTTGCAGGTTTCCAAATGATACTTATTTACTAAAAACCCTCTGATTACTGCCAACAACGATATTTATTCCACTCATACCTGTTCCCTCATACCTGTTCATTCTTCGTCGCTGAGGCATTTGTTCTAGATCTCTCTGCTCTCTTTCTTCTCTTGTCATTCCTTTGTAGTTTGAGGTAAGACCAAATATAGGCCGAGACCATTCATCTGCAACAAGAAAAAAATCAATTGTTTAGTTGACAAAATAGCATTTCTCCTACCATTCTTTCCAATAATTGCACTGTAATGTTATGTGATATTCTAAACATTTACTCTTTCCTAAAGACTCCATTACTTCAGGATTATTTATATACAAACACAGCATAATACCGATATCATAACTAATTCTAGCTGACTCAGAAAACTCAGGGTGAAAATACCAGTTAAATCAGTAATCACCACAGAGATTTTTTTTTTTTTTTTTTTTGAGACAGAGCCTCAAGCTGTCCTCCTGGGTAGAATGCCACGGCACCACAGCTCACAGCAACCTCCAACTCCTAGGCTCAAGCAAGTCTCCTGCCTCAGCCTCCCAAGTAGCTGGGACTACAGGCGCCCACCACAACGCCCGGCTATTTTTTGGTTGCAGCCGTCATTGTTGTTTGGTGGACTTGGGCTGGATTCGAACCTGCCACCTTAGGTGTATGTGGCTGGCACTTTAGCCACTTGAGCCACAGGCACTGAGCCACACCACAGAGATTTAAAGAAAGTAACATCTGAGCCACTTTGATAGTTATCAACTAGCTGGACTGACTATTTTCTTTTACGTAATTAATTTATTTTATTTTTTACAGAGAAGGGTCTTGCTGTGTTGGGCTGTCTTGAACTCCAGGAGCTCAAATGATCCTCCTATGCTGGTGTCTCAAAGTGCTAGGATTATAGACATGAGCCACTGCATGGCATGTAGCAAAAATTATAGTTTAATATGGCAGATGTAGAGTTCGTACTTCATAAAGCTGCTAAGATGACAATGAAATAGAATTACTACATGACCACTGTCCAGCAAGTGAAGGCCAAAGGGCCAAATGAAGTTTTAGTTCTGAAACATAATGAAGCTAACGGACCTTTCAGATAGAACACAGATGTTGCTACACAAAGAAGAAAACAGAGATTGTCAGGGGTCTCCAAATCTTTTAATATGCTACTTCTTTCAGTCTTAGGCAAAAAAAAAAGTCACAAGCGGCTGCACAGAAGAAACAAAAGTTTACCACCTACTAGACAATAAATTTTAGATTTTTAACAAAATCTGAGATGATACTACATCTCTGGTTTAATGAAAAAATGTATATTCTAAAAGTTTAAAGATTCAATAGAAAAATAATTACTGTATTCAAATATTGATGTAGTTCCTTTTTCAATCTTTGTAACTTTAAAAAGACTTAGTTTTTTGAGACAGTCTCACTTTGTCACCCTCGGTAGAGTGCCATGGCATCACAGCTCCCAGCAACCTCAAACTCTTGGGCTCAGGTGATTCTCTTGCCTTAGCCTCCCAAGTGGGCTGGGACTATAGGCACCTGCCACAACGCCAGGCTATTTTTAGAGATGGGGGTCTCACTCTGGCTCAGGCTGCTCCTGAACTCATCAGCTCAGGCAATCCACCCACCTCGGACTCCCAGAGTGCTGGAATTATAGGCATGAGCCACCACGCTGGGCTGAGCTTAAAGCTTAAAAAATTTCTTTCCAACAAGGGGCAGATGCAGAGGATAACAAAAACAAATATGGATTTCCGTCCTAAAACTGAATAATTTCATAAACAATATGGCACTTAATTACATGCATTTCAGTTAAACTTCTCTGGCATCATTAAGAACATGCAAAAAGGTTCTGGAGACCATTATGCAAGTAACAACAACAGTGGTAAGTAGCTAAGTATTACTCGAGTACTTACCATGCGCTAGGTAGGCACTGTGCTTTATATACATCCGCTCAATGAATCTTTAAAATAACCCAAAGAGGGCAGTGACTGTAGCTCAGTGAGTAGGCCCCATATACGGAGGGTGGTGGGTTTAAACCTGGCCCCAGCAAAACAACAACAAAAAAATGGCCAGGCGTCGTGGCAGGCACCTATAGTCTCAGTTACTCGGAAAGGTGAAGGAAGAGAATCGCCTAAGCCCAGGAGCTGGAGGTTGCTGTGAGTTGTGATGCCATAGCACTTTACTGAGGGTAACAAAATGAGACTCTGTCTCTAAAAATAAATAAATAAATAAAATAACCCAAAGAAAACACATGATTGCCTCAATTTTACAGAGCAAAAGACCAACACTTAGAGCTTAAACCCCAAGCTAAGGATATGCTGTAGGCAAGTGGCATATCCATGATTCAGGCATGACCAAATCCCAGACTGCATTCTAACCCTCCTGTTTCCCTTTTTTTTTTTTTTTTTGGTGTTTAAAATGTCTATTTATTGATTTCTAGGTGTATAGTTACTCGACTGTTCAGTTTTCTGAGGTATTTTACTTTGTTATAATAACCACTAGATGGCTGAAGTTGAAATACAACCAATTAAGACTGTTTTAACTTACAGCTAGAAAACTCATGCTTTTAACTTGCTATACTGAATACTGGACAGCATACCTAAATATGCTGAAAAGCACTTTAAGTCTAGGAGAAAAACCTGGTGTCTCTAAGAAGTTATTTAAAAAATTTCTATTCTACTTTCCAGACGTTACCAATATGAATAAATATTGGTAAAAATACAGTTTTTATATGTACATGTCTCTCTCTAAGTAGACATAAACACAACAAACAAAAAGTAAAATTTACATACTGATTAATTTCCCTGCCATGTCCTTGTTGGACCTTGATTCCTTGGGGTGTTTATAGAGATACATCACTGCTCGTCCAATCCCACTATGTTTCAGGGTCTCCTGGCTCACACTAGGTAGCTGGGGAACATAAACACATTACATACATATTAATCACTCAGAACCTGGGAGTCTTGCTAATCTGTTCTAGAGGACTTTTTTTTTTTTTTTTTTTTTT